ACATTTTGCAGTTGCGTGAGATAAAGACATACGACGTTACGGTGTGCAGAAACGCAAAAATACGCCACAGCGCTCGACATAGAAATTAGCACTGTTAATAACTGATTAATCAAGATTCTTACAGTGAAAAAGCTAGGTTTAATTTGAAAGCTTAATTTATTTATCATTATAAATGAGCAAAGTTAAGACGCTGCATAACTTAATTTGCTTAGGAAATTATGTGATAGACTTTGATTCTCAATAGCATTTTTTTCAAAATATTTCTATTGTGAATGTCGATTTCGGTGTCATTTAAATAGTGCCGTCTGTCCATCCTTTTTTTATGTATAATCCAATTAAATATGTATGTTAATAATGTATATTTGAAATACGTAATAGCAATATCTAATTTATGTTAGATATTTATTTAAAATTTTTGTAAAACTGTTAGAATAGTATCGCTTAATAGAATAAAAGATTTACTCAATTAAAATATAGCATTAATGTCGATAATCACATTTTATATTTTGTTCATGTGTGAAACAAATGTGTATAAATTTGAAATTTAAATTACATCAATTAATGATCCAGAGCTTAAATAACAATATAACATACATATAACATAAGGCCTTTTCTTTTGTAAGCATATCATAAAAGGAAAATCGCTTATTTTAAAAATAACATATGAAACAACAACACTGCTGGCTTATTTAATTCAACTTTTTTGAAGCCGCTTAAGTAATACGCAGCTCAAATCGCATGGTTGGTAACACTAAGAATTCGCAAACGGTTTTTGGAAGTACGTACAAAATTTCCAGTTAACTGTTAACAAATATTTGACAAATAACACACAATTCTTTTTAATTTACTACTTTTTTCTGTTAACATTGAAAAAGCCTAATAAAATTTATTTACAATCTTGCAAAAACTAAAATATTTTTACCTATAATTGCAAAGAATTATTATTTATTTTTAACACTAACTTTAAATTTTTTTACGTGTTTTGCATATACATTGTGACCGAAAAGCTTCCGGAAATTTTAAATAAAACGCAAAATTCTTAATCTTCATCAATATTTATTTTATCTCCTTCAAAATATGCTCCATTAGAAGCGATACACAAATGCCAACGTTTCTTCCAATCATCAAAACATTTTTTATAGGCGCTTTCCGGTATGGCTTTGAGTTCCCTCTGCGAATTCTGTTTTACGTCTTCTATGGATTCAAAACGCGTTCCTCTGAGTGGTAATTTGAGGTTGGGAAACAGGAAAAAGTCACACGGTGCAAGATCAGGTGAATACGGTGGCTGTTCGATGGTATTTATTGAATGTTTGGCCTTAAAATCGTTGATAATGTTGAACAAATTGAGGTGAATCGGAACAAGCCGGGCGTTGACACGTCGCATACACAAATTGTCCACCAAAATCAAACGAGCCATCTCACGACCGATGCCTAGCTCTCGTGCTATCTCTCTAACACTCACATGAGGATTTTTGAACACGATTTCCTTTGCCTTTTCAATGTTTTCGTCGGTGGTAGAGGTCGAAGGTCGTCCAGAACGCGGCATGTCTTCGACGGTCGTACGACAGTCCTGAAAGGCTTTGTACCACTCATAAACTTGAGTTTTCGATAAAACTGATTCCCCATAAGCCTTTTGTAGCATTCGCAACGATTCTGCACACGAAATTTCGTTCGAAAAACAAAATTTGATGCAAACTCTTTGTTCAATATTTTTTTCCATTGTTTTTTTCGCAACGCACTACTGAGGTGAACTGGTTTCAACAGCTGCCGTAAACGAACTGTCTGACAGATCGCGCTCATTTTTGGCATAGTAATTAAGGACAGTGCTGCCAAACTACATAAACTTAAAATATCGAAAAATATACAGCGCGCGAATCTTAAATGAGAACCTCCGAAAACTTCTCGGTCACAATGTATAAGCCTAAAAAAATTTCCAGTTCTTCCAGAGTTGCCATCAGTTGTAGTGCTTATTTTATGTTGTTCTTTTGCGATACGCTTACAAAACAAATGGCCTATAGTAACACAAAATACATTAAAAAGAATTACCTTTGCTATTCAAAAATATCCATACATACATACATACATAAATAATTTGTTTAAAAAAAAAAAGCAATTGCAACGTTTCATAAGGCGTTTTCGGTGGCTCGCAAGTATAGCAGAAAATAGCAAGTTATAATAGCCGAAATGTATGCAAAGCAACAACTCTATTTTCTATCTAAACAAACGTGTTATCAATGCAATATGCGAACTATTGTGAACTTTCATTGGAAATTTCAACGAATATTGCAACCATATGTCAAAAATTCATTTTAATTTTCAATTAATATTAAATATATATTTTTATGCAGAATGTGTTTTGCTTGTATTATGTGCACATATGCAAGATTTACTATTTGCCAAAACAGAACATTTGGCAGATTGTAACAGTGATGCCAATGTCATTTAGCAAATACAGGACAGCGTGCGTTTTTTATCACACTTGTGAACCACCGAAAACGCCTATTGTTTCGTTGGACATTTATGAACTTTTAAATGTGCTGTAAACTTACTTGCAGGTTAAAAATAGAATAATTATATATATACAAATATTTATAAGACTTAATATGTATAGGTTAATCAGTAAAAAAACAGTAGAGAAAATAATAACTTGATTTAAGACAAAATGTCTACATCGCTTTAATATTTGCATACATATACGTAATTTGCCAAATTCAGAAAAGGGAATGCTCTTATCCCATCAAGTCTTTAATTAATTATTAACTAAGTAGTGAATTGGCAGTGTATTGGTTAATGTGTATTAATTTTATAGTTTGTTATAATAGTTATAATTCAAAGTACACCAACTTTTCATACAACTTTGTTGTAGGAATATTACAAATTTGTAAATCTTTTTATTTATTTTATTTATTATTTATTTATTTATACCATATAATAATAATGTAATAAATAAAATGCATCTACCATAAATATATTCAATAAAAAAGATGTTGATTGAATTATGCCGTAGACATCTTTTAAATTAAATTAATATATAATATTTATCATTTTTAATATGGATGTTTATTATCAAGTTTCTTTAAAAATAAAATTATTTGAAGAGTTAAATTGCAATAAAATAAGTACTTAGCAAATTTTAAGAATTTGTATACGTATCAGAAAATCATCGATGTGTTAAACAAATTACTAATCTGCGAAAAATTTAAGCAAACATATTAAATTTCTTATGTATTTTCTATTTTTAATATTATTATTAACTTTCCGTATTTCGTAAAGCAAACTTAAAATCTTTTATATATATAAGAACTTAAAAACAAGAATCGATATTATTTTGGAGATGTGTTGGCAACACTTAAAAGTACATATCCCATTTTGCTGTCAAAATAACTGTTAATAAAAAATAAAAAATGTACATGAATTTTAATATATTTTAAACAAAGCATTTTGATAAACATATTATTAACTATTGTTTCAATTAACGATAGACTACTGACTTTTTTCCATTGTTCAGTTTGTTTTGAATATACACGTTAAAAATTGACATGTCAATGCAAATATTAAAAATAGAAGAATGAAACATGTTTTAATAATATTACTGGCAATATTTATTTAAAATAAGTTATTTCCATAAGTATGTGTGTTAGTTAAATTCTTTGAGCTTAATTCCAAACAAATATTAAACGCATAATAATTCTTTCCAATTGATATCATTAACTTATTCAAATATTATTAACAAGCTCTGTTTTTTATTAAATATATAATCCAAATGCTCATTTTAAATCACTACAATAAATCTAACAGTTTTTTTTAAAATTTGTTTTTTAATTTTATACATATAATAGTTCGTTCTAAATAATATAAAGGAATTAATTTTACTCTTGAGCCAATTCGTTCTATGTTTGAACAAATTAGGCCATTTTTGTTATTTCGTGAAGTATGTTCAGTACAAAACTGAAGAACAGTTATTTTAATCTTCTTTTTTTAATTCAATTCACATAACAATTTATTTAAAAAAAAAAAGATTAATTTTATATATAAGCCAATTCATTCTGTATATAAACCAATTAAGCCATTATTGTTATTTGGTTAAGTACGTTCAGTTCAAAATTGAAGGACAGTCATGCACTTAAATCATAATAAATTTAATAATATAATTCATCTGTAACAATATTGGGATTGCTTTTGTTTAGGTTCTAATAATAATATATACATAATTTTTCGAAATTCACCATGAAAGTATTGTCAATAAAATTATAATATAATCTCAAATAACTTTCCATATTCCATATAGATAGTATGAAATAAAATTAATATATAACAATATAAAAGATATTGTAATATAAAGATATAATATAAATATAATAGATAAGCATATAGGCCGTGTGCGAGTTCGAGTAAATTGAGGTAAAATAAATTGAAATTACCCAGGGATTTTTTGCACTGCACTTATGTAAATATTTATTTATTTATTTATTGCACTTATTTAATATTTCTGATTAAAAGTTTTCAAACTTATTTATAAATTTATTAAACACCTTATAAAATTTTCACAATGGTAATACTTAATTTATCTAATTTTTATCTAATTTACCCTACTCGAAATTCTGGTAAATACCAACATTCGCTCTCATACCAATATAACTTACTATTTCCCTCAATTCACCATCAATTTACTCGAACTCGCACACGGCCATAATAACAATATATCCATTAAAATAATATAATTCAAAATATAAACCAGAAGCAAATTACATGGTATAAACGTACTTATTCAAAAAACAAAGTGTTATATTCTGGAATTGAAATGGATGTACAAGATTTATTATATTTATTAGGATATTGTTTTAATAACAACATAAAATAGTAATGTATTAATAAAAATAATAATTTCACGTTATATGGCACAAATGTTTTTTACAAAAATATGTTTTCTTCTTGGCTGGCAACGCTGTCAGTTTGGTTGACATGATTATCAACGTTTACGCATATAGTCATGGAGCATATTCTATTCGGCATAGTTTGGGAGACGTACGTGTTTCAATTAATTACGTAGGCTTGTGATTTAACACGGATTTTTTCTTAAAATGCTGAACTTATAAGAATAATATAAATACTTATTTAAGAATGCTGCCTTATTTAAGTTTTAACAAAGACTATTTTGTTTCTACTTGTGTACTATGTGGGAAGTGAGTAATAACTGGATATGCGCTTTGGATTGGTTATTAATGAACAATCAGCAGTGAGCTAATATAATTATATATTGCAGTTAAGTGAGCAAATTAATTTTGGATGAATTTGTGATTGATAAATAAAAGTGAATTGCTGATGTTGCAGTGCGGTGCGGTTGCTTCTGTCATATCAGCTCTGATGTGTCTACAAACTCTTCATTATCCATTTTCTTTGTTCTTCCCTCCTCCGACGACAAAATGAATCGATAGTAAAAGTCGTGAAACAGACAATACAATCATAGCTACAAACTCGCATGGCCAAGCATTTTAGGTATTGTATTTTTTTAAACTTTATTTATGAAACCGCATACAACATAAATATAAAAAACATTAAGTTACTTTAAAAATGAAACTGTTGAGTTGAAATCATCAGACCGCGTCCAACGCTATTATTACGATTATAATATATACTATATATATATATATATATAATATATTTCGCTTAGTGATAGATAAGACAGTGGACCTTTTATTTTTTTATTAGTAGTTCATAATGCCTATGAATATGAAATGTTTGCATCGAATATATATGTATATATATATATATATATATATATCTATATGTATATATAATTCTTGACTTTAATAATATTTAAAAATGAATAATGAATGAAATTTCAAGTCTTATAACTATATACTATATTTGTGTTTAATAAATTTTTAGTTGTCTATAAAATGGAAAATGAAAACCAAATTGAAGTAGCCAAATAGCACACTAGTAAAAGGACTTAATAAATCCTAATAACAATATATAGTGTGAGAATGTCAACAAGCGTATACACAAAATGTACTCGTGTTGTAAACTCGGCGCTGAACGCGCTTGTCTGTACTTCAAATACGCAGTGAAGCTGACTTTACTACACTATCGTGTATCACATGACATTTCGGAATCTCCAACTAGGCTTTTTACGCTATACGGCCCTTTTTCCTACATAATTGGTATTACGACTGCGTAAAGAGAGCTGAGAGCTTGGAGCGTTTATTGCACTCCTAAGGATGTTATTCTACTATCAATTGTCGTAAACCAAATAATGGATTCACTTCTCTTTGGACGTGAACACATTTCTTGTTGAGGTTTAGTTGCATAAAGCTCCTTGCCGGCGAAAGGGTTTTTATTAGCATCGGTTATAATTTTGATACGATAATGTATTATGTCAAACTATATATAGTTGCAACTATATCCAATTTCCAAATCATTTAGATATATATGTGCAACTCTATAAAAGAGACTAGTCGATAAAAAATGTATTTGTGTCTTATTGTTGGCTAAGAAATGTCGTACAAAAATACAACTCTAACGGAAAAATTTCAATAGTCTTTCTGGAAGGATAAAATCAATATTTCTGTGATGTACTCACTCATATCTTACCACAAGAGTTCTCTCTAGTTGCTTCAACTATAGAAATGGTAGTTCTCATTTGTTCATTTAATTTATTTTATTTTTCTTTTTTTTATGTTGGCGCTGTTAAACTTAACAAACTCGCCGTCTACTATAAATATCATCGCGTGTTGGACCGCGGTACTGTGTGAATAATTTATTCAATAGTATCATAATGTAAATTCAAGGTCCGCTTGAATTATACAGCGAGTAACAAAAAGCTGCTTAACTAAAAATATAGTATATGAATTATTATTAATAATGATAAAATTTGTTCGTCAAAATAGTCGGGATACTTCAGTCAAGACTCTAAAAAATTTATTAAAAAAGAAGGTGAGCTATTGCTTAGTTTCAACCACTTACAAATTAATAAATTGTTATATGTTCATATATTTGAAGATTATAATATATTAAAAGCACAATATATAAATGAATGATATCTTTTAGGGCGAATCGAATGATTCTGGAACAGAGTCTGATGGTGACTTAGACATGGAAGCCAGTGAGTAAAATTTATTATTATATCGTATTCGTAATATAGTATTGTAAATTTATTTAATATAACAGGTCTGAGTTCATGTGCCGATGCGAGTTCTCTGACTGATACCGCTTGCTCATCAGAATCGTCTGCAATGATGTGTCAATCCCACCTTATGTATGACCAACACAGTTCAGAGGAAGAACTTGAAGTTATAAATGGACCAATGTCGTCCATTGGGGCGATAGAGTCTGCAAGTAGCATTTTGGTTGTACGCGGAACTACGGCATCATTTATTACTGAAAGAGGCTCCTCTTCACTTGAACCAGAAGAATTGTTTGGAGAAGCCTCAACATCTAAAAGATCCAGTTCAACATTAATTGAAAATCGTAAACGGTCGTTAGCTCATGGTTCAGATGATGAGGTAAAAAAATTTATATTAACTATATTGTGTATATAAAATTGGTGAAATATAACTATACAATTTATAATCATATATCTATAGAGCTTTATATATTATTCCAACTGTTTAAAACTGCTAGCATTTTGATATTGCATTTTGATGAGCACAAAGTACTTTTCAAAAATGCTCTAACATCGTAAGATGTACGAGGACTTGTTGTTCTCATATTAGTATACAAAAAATGAATCTTAAGTGAAACAAGACAGATTTGTTGTTTTGGCGGCTCGGACATTTAAAATGTTCGTTCCAAATATTTAAATTAGATTTTGAAGTACACATATATATAAATTCATTTGAAATACTAATTATTAGAATCAAAAATATATAATAAATAGTTTCATATATCAACATATATATACTAAATTTAGGAATGTTGTTACTGTAGTCTGACTAATTTTCCAATTCTTGCCTAGTTAGACTTTTACGTGTATAGTAAAAATTTCGACAAGAGTTGTGAGCGACACTTCGTTGTAAAATACAAGCGGCTCGGAAAATTTAACATAATAACATTCTATCAAGTAACCAAAAAAGGCCAGAGAGACCTATTGCGTAGATAACACGAAAGGAATACTAAAGATACATGAGTATACATGGGTTCGAATGTAGATAGGTGATGATAGTGTGAAAAAGCAGGGAATTGTCCAAAGGCTAGGATGTATTAAGGATGGGTGGGAACTAAATGTAAGTCAATCAGGATCAAGGTGGAGAAAGTGGTATGTAAGGGATACAATAACAATATTATTAACTATAAACCACAAAATCAAAATCAACCACATCAAATTATAATGGAGCGTAACATCAATCGGTTTCGGAGCCAATTATGGAATTATTTGAATTCCATATGAATTTGAGTAGCTTTATCGTTCCTTGTAACCAAGTATAAAATATCCGTATCTACCATAACGATTCCTATTATTGAATTTGAATAGTTGAACGAACTTCAACTTAATCTTTCTGGAATCTATATACAAAATATGATTCTGAAACGTAGACTCAATCGTTACTTGTATGTATTTCAACATATCTACCTTTTATAAACGTTTTTAAAACAAATTTAAACGCCAATTTAAACGGCTTTTAAGAGAATTAAGTTTATTACAAACTCAAACCTTTGTATACCGGTTGAAAGAGACTCAACTAGAGTACTACTTTACAGGACGTCATTAATTTTTTTAGTTACTTAACTAAACAACTACAAACATCAAGTTGAGCCATTTAGAGTGACGAAATTCGTGCAACTAAACCTAAAGCGGGTATTACACATTATTCTTGACGCGAAGTCTTGGCCCAAGGTCTCTTGCTATTACACATCATTCACTGTCGATATTATTTGGAACTCTCCTCAGCAAAAAATACTAGAAGTACACTATAAAACAAAATCATGCGTGCAATGAAATGTTTTAGCTTCCATGCCTTAAAACATATTGAAATTGGCATGGAAGCCGACAAAAATCTGACTGTAAAACGAAAAAAAACGAGCAAGACTGGTCGAAAAATCAAAATATTTTGATTTCCTTCACTCCGTTCGTCACTCCTGCAAATGTTGCTCTTACGCATTAGACTTGGAAAATTTTGCATTTCAACGCACCAAGACAACATTCAAGGATCACGTGTGATACCCGCTTAAGTTACTTTTCTATTATACTTCCCCACACTAAAACCATTTGATTAAACGTTATTTTTCACTTTTTAATGAATTATTCACTTATCCCGCTCTTTTACTTTTGTTTTTTTGACGGGTTGAGAATATAATTAAAATAGAATAATAATTAGAACTTTCTGTGAAATATAGTTAAGAGATCTGTTGTACTTAATATATCCTAATCGAATTTAAAGTGTTCTGATTTTTTAAGGAAGGTCCGAATTTTGTTATCAACCATCTGATTACTGGCGGTGTTAAACACAATTCTTCTACCAGTACTATTCTCCTGTTTAATCAACCTTCTTAATATATTAAATTTTTCGATTTAACGTTCTAAACCATTCTCTGTATGCAACGAAGTGTTATTTAAGAGAGTCTAAAAAGTGACTTGTCTGGGTTACAAACTAATTCTCACCCCTTTGCGGACATTCCTTGACAAAAAACAGCATTCATTTAGAGTTCCAAACTTTTATGTATATCTAAATTGTAGCAAAAATTATGTGATTGTATATATTTGTAAAAGTAAAAAGAATTTAAAATGAAATACAATATTTTCGATCAATTCGAATATCTCCGACCAGCTTAAACATATTTGAGCAAATTAAATGTGTAAAACACCATATAGTTTTCTACTTTATATTTCAATTTATTTTCATTTTCATTTATTTTCATATGATATATCCTCGAACACCATATAGTGTTTGAACATGTTTAGGTGGTTCTCTTTAAAGCCCAAACAACTTAGAGCAACTCGAACATTTTCAAGTACAGTATCAAAGTTCATTTGAAAAAATGTATGTGATAAATATCCGGTATATCCGAAATATTTTAGAGTTTTTTCTGTATACACTACTAATCTCAAATATTCGAATTCAAGTATACTTCAGCTGCTCGAAAAACATAACAGTCGACCACTCTGTTATGCGCTAATTAATCTTTATATTTATTTAGTTAACTATTAAATTCATTGTGAATATAAAATAACATATTTTCTACAAATGAAGTGTGTACTTCAAACACTATACGAATATTGTGTTATATTGTATTTGAGTTTGGTATCCAATTTATTATATTATATATTATTGTTTTTTCAGTTACGCAATTTCTTGGAACCTATATTGACGCCAGTTAATTTTCGTACTTCTCCACCTTTGGAAGCCTTTAAGCCAAATCGAAGTCATATGTTCCGCTCAACAACACCATTAATATTGTCAGAGGCTCGATATGGCATCGAGAATATAAAATTATGTGATAATAGTGTTAATGATGAGAATGGAGATAGCTGTAGAAATAAAACCGATGATGAAGATAAAAACAATGGAAGTAAAAGCATTATAAAAGCTTGTGCTACATCTCTTAAAATAAGCAACAGCAGCCACCATATATACCAGCCACAGCCCAAATATAGTTTTCATTACAATAGCTCTCGAAGTAGTCCCGCGTCAACAACAGGTTTAGATGTAGAAGTTCGATCAGTAAGTCCGCCAGCGAAATTATTTCATTGCGCTATATCGCCTCGACGACGACCTATACGAGGACAGCATGCAACGCAGCGGCTTCAACGGCCTCATAGACCTTGTTTAGATTTTGATAAAATGCAACAAGTAAGCCTCTAATGTAGCGTGAAGTTAAAGATTATTTAGTAACTAAGCACCAAAAATAAAAACAAAAATAAAAAGTACCTAAGGCTGAAGAAACACAAAATGATTTGTATGGTAACGGTGCTACTACGCTCCATAATCTCAACAAAAGTAATAATTACCAGCAAATTATATTATGAAAAGGTTTTGTTTCCCCTGGATTGAATGTATGTGTGTTTACTTAGACTGAAATTGCAAAATCTTCAGCTGATCCACATGTTATCCACAAATCGGTTATGGAATCAGTTGTGGAATCAGTTGTGCTGAATAGCAATAAACTCCAATTAACAGCTTTAATTCGGTCAATCAAACGAATCACAATTTCCATTTCCGCGATTTTGTTCAGCCTTACAAAGTTGTGGATTCTGCCAAATTTTAGATTTATATTAATTTGAAACTTGATTAAACTTGATAACTTGATTAATTTGTTGAGAAGTTGTAAAATAATTTAATTGGCAAATGACTTTTTTTTGTTGTTTGTTTTTCTTTGTGATCAAAAGTCAAACTTCAATTTAAGTGTGATGTATATTAGCCTCGAAAATTTGCTTGATATTTAACAAGTTAAAGAAATTTAAAGCTTTCGTTATTGAACTCAGCATTTTATTCTAAACAAAACTGAATAATGGGAAACAATAATTTGAATTCAATATTTGTACTTGTATTGACAGCTAATGTGATTTTATCAAATGTATATATAATAATAAAACTACTCCTTTAAATTAACTTTAACCGCGAAAAGTCGTTTAGCTAAAGGTCGTACTTAATTTTGTACTGCTATTTTAAATAAGTCTTTATAAGTGACTGTACGTAGCCAGAAATAAAATCGAGAATCTGGGTGAAGATCATGGACGCATCTTAATTTTTAAAAAATTGTATTTCACTTGGAAGAATTAAGTATGCACCTAACTTTTCACTGGCTGGCTATAAAAATACTTATATATTGGTATATATATATATATAGTAATATAGTATATATATAAATATCTATATATATATATATGCATGTCGAAAATATAGAAATAAAGTAAACCTTTGTAAATAATAAAGCGAAACAAAATAACGAAAAGCTCATAAATATTTTAATTATGGTAATATATAGAAATATATAATATTAAACTAGATATCATATAAGCTAAGCAATAGAACTTAGTTTCGAAAAATTAAACTCGTATGACAGAACAGAACTGAAAAAACCAGTGAATATACTTATTTCATAAATTTGATAAACACACATATAAATACATATGAGCATATATTGTTATAGGTTCGTTAATAATTTCTACAAATAATTTTAATATTATTTTATACGTTTTAATTATTACTTAATGTGTGTTAAGCAGTCTCTTCTTAGATCAGAGAAGCGTACGTACTTAACACACATTAAATATCAATATAAAAACTGGTCCAATACATAGCATATTTTAATTTTTATTTAATCGCAGAAGTAGATTTAAAACTTCCTTTCTTCCTCAGACTGACGTTTATGTGTTTAGCAGAGCTTCAAATGTAATTTTGGCTAATCTTAGCTTCGAGCATTTTGTGTTCAAGTTTATTTGAGCTCAATCTTTTTGACATTCAAATATGATAAACTTACCCAAGCTTTTTGAGGTTCGAATATGCTTGTGGTGGAACATTTGATTGTTCGAGTATGTTTGTGTTTGTTGAACACCTTACAGCTTCAAGTAACGTATACATATAAATACAAAAAATTACGATCGAAATAAAAGCTAAAATTCCTTTAAAATTGTTTTTAACCGACTTTAAAATATTTTCGACGTTATAACTCAAAAAATTAAAAATAAAATTACAGCTTAAGTAGCTCAAACGATTTCGATCGACTTAAAGAGTATCGATCAGCTCAAACATCTTCGAGCGATTTAAACAGTATCGAGCAGCTCAAACATCTTTGAGCAGCCTAAACATCTTAGAGTAGCTCAAACATCTTCAAGCGGCTTAAACATCCTTGGACAATTCAAACATTCTCGACCAACAATAGCACCTTCGATTAACTCAAAAATATTCAAATAGTTTCGAGCACTTGAAATGTCTTTGAACAGCAATAAAAATATTCGAACCAAACATTTTCATCAGCTCAAACATCTTGATCAGCTCAAAATCTTCGAACAGCTCAAGAATATTTAAGCAGTTCAAACAACTTCGAGCAGCGTAAATATCTTTGAGCACCTCAAATTTCTTCAAGTAGTTCGATCGTTTATTCAAGCAGTAACTTAAACGACTGCGAGTAGCTTAAACCTTTTTGAGCAGTTTAAAAATATTCGAATAACTTTGATATTCGGATATTCGGACAGTTTAGAGCAGCTCAAAATCTTCGAACAACACGTAGTTTCGAACTGCTCAAACGTTTTAAATATTCGGTCGAATTCGATTATACATAAGCTGTCCAAACATTATAATGTTTAAACCCTTTGAAGCAATGCAGCATTAATTATTTACATTTAAGTTAACGAGCAAAAAACATGAAATAATAATTATTTAGTTTAAAAATTCAGTTAAACTTAATGCAAAACAAAAAAAAAATACAAAATAAATTATAATAAGCAAACACTATTAAAATTGAATTACTCTTCAAACTAACATACTTTTTATGTGCGTTCATATTTACCAATATAAATTGTCCTATAATAAATATAATAGCGGTTATGTTCTGTCATTAATAATGAATATCATATATCTAATGATCATTCCTTATCCCTTCATAATCATTAAGTAAAAGGTATCAAAAAATTGAATATCATTGACTGAAAACATGTTTAGATTAAGTTAAAAAACAAAAGCGAACGCATTCATAGCAAAATAAATAAAATAAAATTACTGTACAACTGTAAACTTTTAACAATTAAAAATAATAATAATAAATAAATGTATTGTACAATATTAACTCATACAAGTAAGTACAAGTATAAATAAAGGACGCTCTGCAATAATAATATATACCTTACGCTGTTTTATTTATATTTATTAATACTATTAGTCTATATATATGTCGCAAATAGTGAATTTTGGCCATCGTACATAAAACAAAAACAAGTGAAGAAACACCATACTTAAGTGCTCTGACTTAAATAGTCCAGATAATAAAGGGAGAAATTCAAAAAAAAGAGCGAGCGAAAAAATCACATGAGCACACGTATTCACAACTTACATAACTTCATCAATATGAACGTGTTAGATAAATAAAATAATATATCTAAATGATATACACTCCATAACTTAAGACTTCAAGGAACATATAACATATGATAACAATAAAAAAAGAAACTGCAATAGATATACGTGATTTAATTTGATCAGTTGTCTTAGCCCTTTATTCCATTGTTCATCATCATCATTATCATGGGCATTACAACCGATATCTGATCCTGGCCTCATTTAGCAAAACTTTCCATCGATCTATCGATCTTGATTTTGATGTGATGTCATTCATCGGGCATCCATAACTATGTCGTCTATTCAGCGCAGACATAGTATGTCTTACACAATCTCAATCGCTCGCTTATCACACAATTCGCTACACAAGATTCTTCCCACAATCTTATATTCACCCATTCAACCTACATCACCCGCCCAAGCTTAGTTTTCATAACTGCGTCTGCTTCGCGTATAAATCCTGATTTTAGCTCCTCGTGACAATTCGCTGTAGAACCTTTCTCCCGAACACCGTCAAGAGATCAGAGTGCTTTTTGCTAAGCACCTAAACTGCAGATGCATATGTGAATACTGATTTGTAATCTCATTTGCTATTCCAATTCGCACAATATTCTTTTGGGATACATTTAAGAGTGTGCATATAAAATATAGATTAGTACATGCAGAAATCTTCCCTTGTGCTTTTACTTTAAACATGGACTTTCACGGAAAGAAGGTCTATATTCTTACTAACAGTGAGGCAGTTAATAAAGCGGTTAGTATTACATCCAGATTAGTGTACCAACGTAGGAAATTTATCAAAGCACTAAGTGAGAGGTCCAAGGTAACTCTAATTTGGGTTCCTGGGCGTTATAATACAGTAGGAAATGAGTGCGCAGACGAGCATGCTAGATTAGGCAATCTAGCACATTTCTTCTACGGATACTCCTATCTCGGCCAATGCCAGCTACAGTCGGAGGTTAATTTATGACAATTTTTTGCGACAGACTAATAGTGAGTGCGCCCATTCTACCTCAACAGTCAGGTCAAGGGGTACATGGTCAATCTATTCTAAACGCAGAACCTCTGACTTGATACACAGAAGAAAATCAGAGGTATCTAGGTTAATATCTGCCTTTACAGAGCACTAGATCATAGGGCGGCATGAAGCTAGACTTGGCTTATCCTGTTCTGTCTCCTGGAACGCATGTGTACCTAATCTTGAATAAAGGACACCTGAACACCTGTTGTGTTTATGTTTAAAATAAAATATATCACCTCAAAATAAATATATCATCTCAATAATTTGGACATAAAGATTTTTATTGTGTTTGATTGTATATTAATTTTACGAAGAATCGCATTAACAGGCACAATAGATATGTTATCTGATGGTTATGGTTATATATATTTATATATATTATATATGTATATTATATATTATATTATATATATATATATAGCGTGAATTTAATTTTACTATGCCAAATAAATTTAACAATCATGGCCGTGTGCGAGTTAGAGTAAATTGAGGCAAATAGTAAATTATGTCGGTATGGCAGCGAATGTTGATATTTACCAGAATTTCGAGTAGATAAAAATTAGGTGAATTAAGCGATACCACTGTGAAAATTTTATAAGATGTTAAATAAATAAATAAATTTGAAAACTTTTAACCAAAAATAATAAATAAGTGCAATAAATAAATAAATAAATATATACATAAGTGCAGTGCAAAAAATCCATAAATGCAGAATTTTAATTAACTTTAACTCAAATTAATCGAACTGTCACATGGCCTATAAAATTAAATTTAGTGATATAAAGTAAGTAACAATTTTCAACCGATTTCTGTAATATTTTTTATTTATTTGTGTTAATTTGGTTTGATAAAAATATCAAGACTTAAAACTATGAACTTGTATTCTATTATAAAAACTAAAAACTATAAAACTAATTACTTAATCTTAATTAACATCTAACTATAACAAATTTAAATGTTTATTTCACAAATTTTAAAAGGATAACATCAATTATTACGAAAAAAAATGTTAAAATTACAGTAGTTCTGTCATTACATAAACTCTTCAGCTATATTTTGATTCAAATAAATTCCAATACAAAGCAATTTTCAATTAATTTATTCATTTGTATCTTACTTTCAAATTATAATTTATTTATTTAAATATTAAAGATTCAAATAAAGCATTGATAAGAATCTACATCGGAAGATGCTGGAAAAATCCATCGATACGTCAGGTGGATATAAATTACAAATAAAATTTTTATTGTTTCTTACTTCTATTTGTTAATTAAAGAAAAAAACTCACATTGTTCAAACTCAAATATTCAACTAAGGACTGGTCCACGATTAAAATATGTTTTTTTATTTTCATGGGTTTACAAATATTCTTACATAAAAAACGAAAACATTTTATTCTATATATTTGTGTATATATATACTAAAATATATACAATAATTAAAAGATTATAAAAGTATTAAAAAATACATACACATTAATATACATATTTTTCTAGCTGATCATCCTTTGAAATCATCTAAGTACTGTTAGGTTAAACTACTTCTGTGTGCTACCAGCTCGTCTTGGCACCTTTTCGTAGATGTGTTAACATATGACGACGTAAATCACTCCCAACGCGGAAACATTTGGAACATATTTTGCATTCGTGTGGTTTTTCTCCTAAAGTTTTAAATAAAATTAATTTTTATTAGAAAAATAATCCAATGGAATTACGATAACTACATGTTTATATAGAATTATAATAAGTAGTATAAATAGTTGTAGAATAAAAAACAACTTCAAGCAACTTATAAAATATTAATATTTTTATCACATATCCATCGCATCATGTTCGTCAAAGTGTCTGAAACCCAATTAAGAAGAGATTAAACTTCATATAAGGCCTTTAGTCAGTATCAAAATTTATTTTACTGCCTCTTTCTAAAACAACACACTGAGTCCAATATAATTATTTCACCACTTGACTCACTCTTTCATTTATTTTTCGCAACCTGATTAAGTAAGGTCTTCAATCGCTTTTGGGATTTTTATGACTCGGTATTTGCCGACCGTTTTTCAAAACATATGCTCCGGATACTTTTATACGTATGTTTGATTTTCAAATATATCTTTTCCAATTTTCATAAAAATAATATTTATACCAATGAAAAAATATCTGCGTATCAAGGATGTATCGCTTCTCTTGAGCAGAAATTTATTTAGAATAGAAAATAGGGTAAGAGTTAGACAATTTCAAATCCAATAATAATATTTCATCAAATAAAATTTATTGGTGGACCGTACAGTTATTATCCAGGTATTATCTAATTTTCACATTGAAAGTATATATTCTTAATAAGCAGAATAAAACGAGATGATAAAACAATGTTCTATTATGTGTCTGGCATGATATTGGTTAACAAATCTTTACTTTTCAATTATTCGAATAATAATTTTCATATAGAATTTCTTCGAGTTCAGGAAGTCCAGGTCGACAAATGGCTAACAATTAATAGAGTTTTCGCTTCGCTTTGGAGATGCGAATGTTATGACGAGCTAAGAAGATTGTACGAGACGCTGAATATTGCAACAATAACGCAAATCGAAAGGCAAGCGTTTGTTAAGCAGATATTAAGAGAATAACGATTACCCTGCATAATTTATATTATTCTCAACGAGCTATGATCGAGAAAGATTATAGCTAAGGTGAACACATTGTGACGATAATGATGCATAAAGACATACTACTCGAAATTGACCGTTTTACGTTCCTGTATTCGTATCTATATAGTCACTTTTCCCACAAAAAGAAGCAACCATTTATTTCGAAGTGCTTCAACCGCGAACAACTTTTGTTGGATTTAGTTCATCTTGAAACACCCATACACTCGACTGCTGTTCACAATTTCGGTTCATACGCATATATCCATGGTTCGTCACCTGGTACAATCTTATATACGTCTTTTAAAGCACTGCATTGTACTTCTTGAGCGTTTGTGTGCACCAATCGACTCGAGTATCTTTTTGAGGTTTTGTCAAATAACGAGGGATCCAACAAGAACAAACCTATCTCACGGCTTAATGATCGTGCTATATTTTATATATACTGGTCAAACTAATACCTAGAGTTGCAGTTGCATTATCAGTTTTTTCACAGCATCAATATTTTCTGGCTCAACAACTAAACAACTAATTTTGGACGATCTTCACGAATTTGAGTGATTAAAACCATTGTACTAGCGTTTCACAGTGGCATAGTATCATCAAAAAACTTCATCGCCAAATGTGAAAGTAAGTTTATCGATGCACTCTTGTCTTGCATAATTCACGCATAATTAAATCAAATCAAGCTCCTACTTTCACAATCAGTAACACCAACATTGAAACCGTTGAAAATTTCTGCTACCTTGGAAGCATAATAAATACAACGGGAGGCGCAGCCATTGACGTACGAAACAGAATTAACAAGGCAAGATCTGCATTTGCAACTCTCATTAACATCTGGAGCTCAAGCGAACTATCTCCGAAATCTAAGGCCAATATATATAACGCATGTGTCAAATCGATTTTGCTGTATAGCTCTGAAACATGGATGGTAAGCATTGAAACTAGCCGCATGCTGCAGTCTTTTACCAACAGATGTCTGCGAAATATATTGAGAATTTGGTGGCCACGTGTGGTGGACAATGAAACGTTATTGCAACTCACAAACCAAGAAAACATAAATATACAAATAAAACGACGGAAATACAACTGACTCGGGCACACATTAAGGAAACCCTATGAAAAGGTCTGCCATGCTGCCCTGCGATGGAATCCACAAGGCAATAGAAGACCCGACAGGCCTCGCACCACATGGAGAAGAACAATCCGGCAGGAAACTAATAACGAATTGAGACATTTAGCATTAAACAGAAGTACTTGGCGATTCTATGTAAATAGTCTATGTTCCTGATGGAATATGGCTTATATTATTATTATTACTCTTGTCTTGATAGTCCACGACAAAAAAAACCGCAATATATCATCGCACGAACATTTTCTCGTGTTTCTAACGTTTCCATACGAAAAGAGCATTATTTGTGTTATTTATAATGATTGTAATTATAAATTGAGTGTTCACCACATATACTGAACACGCAGTATATATGAGTATTACATATTATTCTAAAATAAACACAATAACAACCTTTTTTTGATTGAATTTGTTTTAATTAGGTAAAGAAGATTAACCAACTAAACCCTTACCACTAACTAAAGTCAGTGGAGATTATGTCAGAAATCTAATGCTAACCAGCTTAATCCAACTTAATCTAAGAGGTGCAAATAAAAACATTCAGTAGTCCTTCGACTATTTAATATAGTTGTTGTTATTGTGGTAATCCGCTAGGATTTAGAGCACAGATAATATAAAAAGGTTTATAAGACGAATACATAGTTGTTTTATATAGTAGATAAAAGAGTCGTTGCTGCAGACCGTGCAAAATGGAATACATCGTTTAAGCGCGTATTTTTCTATTATTAATTGCGCTGTTAAGGAAGAAGTTATTGAACATATATTCGCGCAAACGCACCAGTTGAAGTACTAAACAAACAATTAATAAAGTACAGTATTCAATGAACTAATTAGAGGCAAATTTTAAAAAGAGTAATAATAATATATAATATATACTAAGTAAATATTTTTTATAATTAAATAATGAAGTGAACATTACCTGTATGAATTCTTCGATGTGTTTGCAAATATGTACTAGCACGAAAGGTTTTTGGACAAAAGTCGCATTTGTAATTTTTTTCACTTGTATGAATACGACGATGTACAACGAGTGAATATTTGCGTGAAAACGATTTCCCACAAAATTCACACTGATGACTCTTTTCTTCTGTATGTATAGAAATAATATGATAATTTAAATCTCCCACTTGCCGGAACTTCCGTTGGCAATGCATACATTCGATTGGCTTATCACCGGTATGAGTTAAGAGATGTGTTTTGAGCGCACCTCGAGCAAAAAATGACCTTCCACATATATCACACTGATGAGGTCGAACTCCAGAATGCGTCCGATTGTGATACTTGAGAGCGTTAGCAGAATTGAAACCGCGATCACAACTACTACACATCCATTGTTTCTTCTTTTTAATGGTATCTTTTCTTTTGCTGACTTCTTTTTTATTTGCGCAATCATTTTTAGTTCTACCTTTTCTCTTTTTTTTTGGTTTATTGCTTTTTTTTGGTGTTTTACTCTTATATGGTTTTTCTTTATCCAAAGTAGTAATGCACACAGTTGTTGAAATATTTTCTCCTATCCCTACAGAACTTATTAACTCTAAATTGTCATCACTAAGATATGAACTATTTACATCCTTACAATTATTGTCAAATGTTTCTTTGTCTATACAGTTATCATTTGAAAATAATTGCAGGTCAGCAGTATCATTCATTTTTAACGAAATATCCTTTTCAATCAAAGACACATTGTGTGTGTCCGATACCATCATTTGAAGGGGTTCAAGAGATACTTCGCCTTTAAATGCTATTCCACTAAAATTATTGTTTAACCTAATAAAAATCAAAATGTTATTTAACATAATGTAAAGTTAATTATAAAATACATACCATTCATTTCGTATATCATTAGAAGTCATAAGATCAATTTCATCACAAGTATCTTCAACAGACACTTTATCTACAACGTTTCGTATTCCTTCTAACATGTCTTCAGTATCACTAAACTCGGTTTCATCTGGATCTATACCAGAAGCAGTATTTGGCTGTGTAACGAAATCTATACATTTTTCTATATTATTTGCGCTTATAAGTTTTAAATCATTGTTTTGATCTACAACACAATGGACAGTATCAACATTAGAGAAGTCCTCAAAATTAAGACTCTCATAAACAGAGGTGACAGTAGAAATGTCATTCTGAAAATAATATATTAATAAAAAATTAGTTTTTTGCAGATTTATAATTATAAAAATGTATACTTTTTTATTTAATGAGCAATTTTCTTCGCAGTTAGTAGCTGCCGCTAACGAATCAATGGAACTTATATCTGTAAGGATCGTGTCAGTATTAGTTGGCTCGTAATGCTGTTTTAGGTGTGAAAAGAAGTCTAACTGCGAAACACAGGACTGACCACAAATTTCACAATTAAATTGCACAGTACATGTTGCATGACCATTCGTTATGTTTTCGTCTAAAGTTACTGGCAATTCTAAAGATTCTAAACATTCCCTTGAAGCTTTTAATTTGCGCGATATTCGTTTTTTGTGCGGCAATACTTTTTTGGTTTTAAGAGTACGAGCAATTGTAAGATCCGCACTTTGCAATACATCTGAATCCTAAAATAACATTTTTAAATTTTATTTAAATATTTATTTTAAACTTACACTTAGCCCTACACTTGACTGAGTTAACAATGACAGACTTGGAAATTGTTGAACGGTTGCGGAATCAAGTGTTGACTCATTTTCTGGAGTACAAAGTTTATCTTCGTCAGTATTCAAAAATTCCGTGTTAAAAGTAAGATCTTGATTAGTTTCTTTACTACAAAGGGAATTGCTTCTTTCAGTTAATCCTAATGTAGCTCCAGAATCAAACGTTAGTTCATCAGTAATATCCTTGTTGCAAAGAGAATTGCTTCTTTCAGTTAATCCTAATGTTGTTCCAGGATTGAAGGTTAGATCTTCATTAGTTTCTTTACGACAAAGGGAATTGCTTCTTTCAGTTAATCCCAAAGTAGCTCCAGAGTTAAACGTTAAATTTTCAGTAATATCCTTATTGCAGAGAGAATTGCTTCTTTCAGTTAATCCTATTGTTGTTCCAGGATTGAAGGTTAGATCTTCATTAGTTTCTTTACGACAAAGGGAAGTGCTTCTTTCAGTTAATTCTAATGTGGTGCCAGAGTTAAAAGTAAGGTCTTCATTAGTTTCTTCAGTGCAAGGAGAATTGCTCCTTTCAGTTAATTCCAATGTTGTTCCAGAGCTAAAACCTAGCTCTGGTTCCTTACTTTCTGTTAACCCCAATGATGTTTCATTATGTTCCATTTGAAGTTGTGATCCGACAATAGTTGGAATGCCATTTCCAATATAATTTGCTACTTGAAACTGGTCGGGTATGTTTACAAGTTGAAAAACTGTGTTATGAAAATTTAAATCTGGTGTAAACGTATTAGTTGTATTGAAGGAAGTGGTTGGAATTTGATTTTGAAAAACATATGGTCCTTCTATAAGTTGCACTATAAAGCTGTTAGGATCTCTGATATATTCAGGAGCCAGAAGTGTCTGAAACAAAATACTTAGCTGAACCAAATATTCTAGTATAGAAGCTAAAATAGTTACGTGATCAATAAATTCTTCTCTCCGGGGAACGGTTGCATTAACGTTCCAGCCATTTTGCATCTCCAATACACTAACAATTAAAAGAAAAATTGTTTAATTACATTACGAAAATGTATATAGAACTTACTTATACCTTAAACCAGAATTGTTAGGTTCCATTGCTTTCCAACTACTGTTTGTCAAGCAATATATAATCGCTACTTAATTATTTAGTAAATAAAACATTTATAAGCATACATATATCTGTAAAATGACGATTAAACAATACAATGCTCCTTGTAGAACAATTGACAAGAAAATGTTGATCAGAGCATATTATAGTGTTGCACTTATCAAAAACCAGAGTTGTATTTTGTTAAGTACTAATATGTTAATATGTCATTTTGATCATCATTGGGAAATATTTTTTAAATTTATATATTGACATTTACATTTATCTGACCAGTGTCCTTTATAGTACTTTCACATTGTGAGATTAACAGTAGATTAAAAAAACAGTCATTGATGTTTTCGCTCTGACCAAGTTGTTAAGTTGTACATTTATACTGCGTTTATATTGTAAGATTAAAACTAGACCAAATCAATAATATAGATTAAAGTACTAATCTTTATGTTTAATCTCAGATTTCCTAATAGAAAAGTTATTCTTTCTTAGTCGAAGTTAATTTTTATATCTTTGAAATGGTGTTTACTTTTTTGTGCAACTCTGTAAATGTTATAATATCGTAGATTTTTTTACGATCTTAGAAGAATTGGAAAAGAAATGTCAAAATCTATTCAAAACAATCATTGAAAATTTGAAAATACCGAAGTGAGTAATTTTTAACAAATTTTATTTATAATAATTTTGTGCATAATTATAATTAAAATTTATTAAATTATTATTATACAATAATTTATTAAATTTATATTACAATTTTTTTGTACAGAATTGTAATTAAATGCTTAATTTACAGAAGTTTATCAAACACATGATACAAAACAGAACAAGAGATACGTCAACATTAATCTCCAATGTGTAATGTATACTGTGGGGATTAAAAATGCAGATTAACTTAACTTTAACTTATCTCACAATGTAAACGCCGTATAAACGATGTGTATTTCGCTTATTACAGGGTTGCTATTATTGTAAGTCTTTTGTGTGAAGTTTTTTAACATAATTTAGTTAAATTAAGATAAAGATATTCAATTGTATGAAAATTTTAATCTGTGATTATATTACAATTATTACAATATTATGTTATACAATATTCAAAGTTAATAGACCTATTATGTTGATATATTTATTTACTTTTTACATTGATTTGTTAATGAAATTTGTCAATTCAAATTTATTTGACGGATTGTAACAGTTTTTAAAAATATTTCATCTCTATGTTAAATTAATCAAAAACATCGCATTAAAAAAAGTTTAAGTTAAAAAGTTATTTACAACTTTTTATTAGTATATACTAAATAATAATATAATCAAGTATAAATTAAGTAATAATTTACTTGTGCACATAGCGAGTCACATCTTCAGGACTTTAAGTTTAAATAGTGTACAGGTTCTGACACAGGTCCTACTATTAAAAACAAAAGGCAAACTAATAGATTTCGAACGATGATGATCTGCAGTTTTCAGATCAATTGTCGGTGTAGCAAGAAGCGTTGTGTCGCAATCTACTAATCACTTTTATATCATGTTATAAACATAGACATAAGATGGTTTTATACCAGGGCAAAACTTAAGTCCAATACGTCACTTGAAGTTGTGCAACTAATTGAACCCTAATAAAAAAAGTCATAGATGAATATTAACTGACAACAGAGATTTGTCTATTTTATAGTAGGACATGCGTATTACGCTATATCAATTGTCAGTTATCGTATAAAATATAGCAAGACATAACTTGTCTCTTCCCTTGGCATGGACACAGAGTGACAGTAGGCATTGAATAAGTTATGGTTAGTGAATGTATAGAATAATGGTGCTTATATTATTTTTAAAATTTTTTTAAAGTTAATTTCAGTTAATTACTTTTTGTTTATTTATTTATTGCGCACATTAAAAACAAAGTCATTTTTAGCATTTTTCATTTTTAACGCCCTACGTTTTATCATGTTTTATCACCACAATGCGATGAATTCTATTTACTTAAGACTTCAACCATTTGTCCCTAATACTTTAATACTTTAAACAAAGATAATAATATGTAAAAATAATAATAATAATTATTTTTATTATATTTGCTTTATTTGTTAAATAACTGAGTGAGTTGAATTAATATTTGCTTGGACTTTCTCTCAATTTAAATAGAAATATGAATGTAATTAAAAATGTTTGCCTTCATCAAGTAAATGGCTACATTCGAACTGCTAGTTATACATTAAATTAAATTGGATTTGATATCAAAAAACTAATCTCAATTCAATGTTGTGTAATTTTTTTAAATAGTGAAAAAGAGTAAATTTGAAAGGAGAATAATATGTATTTTCATATATTATTCATTAGGCTCAGGACATTATTATTTATTAATATCGCAGCAGACTACAGTTTGAAATTGAGGACTATTTAAGAACAGCAAAACTGTTAGACAGTTTGATGGTTCTTGTTAACAGTTTGAAGTTTGCTGCAATATTGTTGTAAGGTGAAAATATGCTGGAAGAATTAATATTTAATAATAATAATAATAATTCATTGTGAAGATGTTGCGAACCGTCCTGCATAATTTTCTTTGTGCTCAAAACTCCAGCTTCTATACCTTTGTCACTGTTACGGCCTCATATCCATATCATGGTTCCAGTTATGCGTTCCGCTAAGGCACTACCGTAGGTACATCAGAGTGGAGGGTCAAAAACTACATGTCTAACAGACATGACGTCGTAAGTTGGATAGTCAGTTGGTTAGTCAACTACTACAGGTAAATGTAGTAAAGGTATGAGAAGGTAGGGAAGGGGTACTAATGATATTAATAATAGGAAACTAATACTACTGACAGTAATATTGATAATAGTACCTAATAGTTCCTATTATTCTTATCATAAGAAACATTGTCGGCTATTTAGGATATAACGTTTTCTACTACTCATAATGTCGGTATAGCTTACTTGCCGAAATATCGAGCTTTAAAATTGAAAGAAATTACATGAAAACTAAGCTAAAACCAATAATAAGTAATAAACGCCAGGTGGCGCTGTTGTTTTAATGCGTTAATATAAAATAAAGTGTCCTTGTCTCGATTTCAATTGTCAAAATCATGAAATAAATCGAAAAGCAATTCTTACTTACTTTCATAATTGACAAAAAAGAGCTTGTCTATGGACGAATCTTACACTCTCTTTGAGATCTAGATCATTTAGTTTTCTCCGATTTGACAGTTTAGATCCTTTTTCGATCAATTGTGCGCGCTGCATTGTAATTAGTTCCATCTTTTCCAAGACTGAATGAAATTTAAATGCCTTTTAACACATATTTTTTTATTGTCATGTAAAAAAAGTGACAAAATAAAATGTATCTAAGTAAGAGTGTTTGAGGTTTGGCTTTGCTGAAGTTTATACTATATATATTTCAATAGAGATATTTAGAATCCTGACAAATTTCAACATATATAGCATATACATAATAGTCCACCTATATCTCCCCCTTGCGGTGAAAGATAGGTGGTGAAGGTTAGAATATTCCCGAGGTAAAGCATATCTGTCGTAATATCCCGGTGCCACGCCGACACTTGTGTAGAAAGTGTGCATGGTAGTAAGTGTTTCGTTCCGCCTCACTTGTGACACTTGACCAGGAGTGTAAATCTGGTTCTACAGGGGTCAGTGGCCTGCAGCTTCGACTATGCTTACCAGTTAAGGTTATACTCGTAGTGGCTATGGTTAATACTCAAACTGACACGTGTAGAATGATTCACTTCATTTGACTTGGAGTTGCGTATTCATCACCGGGTGCTGTGACCCAAAGCTCTACAGAGGTTTGTAGGTAGGCCTCGCACCAAACCAAGGTGAAAGTTATGTTTTGCACACATTTCTTCATTGGTACTGACGGAAATTTCTTTTGAAACTTCAATAGGGCCTCGATTGAAGCTTAATATTAATACACGTGCTTTTGAACACCGAAGTGTTGAGCCTCCGCGGCATAGAACATTTCGTAAAATGAGAATAGAGATCTAGATCTAGTCCACCTTTCAAACTTCAACCAAATACTGCTACTAGTAATGCCATTCGATAAATATAGGTTAGTTCCAAGAAAGGCTCAAGGTCTGAATACATTTTAATCAGAAAATAATTAATGAAAAGAATGGTGACGCACATACTTCTACTAATGAATGTATTATTTTAGTTAATAAATAATGTTATTTTATAATTCTTCCTTTCTCTATGAAAGATTATTTCTAATTCGCGTACAATTCCTGTGATTACTAACAAAGTTAAAGGCAAGTTAAAAATGTTAAGTGCATTTAGCGAAGTCGGGTTTTAGATACGATGGACTTAAATCATCATGAATTTATATAATTTTACTTTTTAAATAAGAAGAGTATATGTTCTGAATACTATTGCACATTGACTTGAGCTTTTGGCCTGCAATCTCTGCACAAAGAGAAGGACAGACAGACGGACGAGCCAACTGCATGCCAAGGAGTATACAGAGTATACAGAGTATACAGATTATTTCATTACAAAGAGCTTCAAATTTAATAGGTGATTTCTCTATCTGAGAAACGAAAAAAGTAAATAGCTACTAAGATGCAGTCAATGAGTCAATGAAAATTCTGCCCGGGAAAGAACATGCTGTCATATAAATCACAATATTAAAAAATATTTCATCTGAATACTTTATGTCGTGTATTAATGTTTATTTTATGAAACATCCCTCAATGATGATTAATATGATTCTGTACTTAAGTAGGTTCGGAAATTATGGTGCCCCAAAATTGATTTTTTGGACATTTTCGATAGTTTCTGTGCAAATTTCTTCTCAAATTGCATTTTTGGTTTAGTCTGCACCTTTTTCGATAATTGTCCTTTTAAGTAAACACGTCTATAGCTTATATTGACCAAATCGCGTAAATTGAAGTAATATTACTCACACAGTTCAGTAAATTAGTGATAAATTCTAGAAGTAGTCAAGCAGCAATCAAACCCTACCATCATCAAACATAATAATCAGTTTTTACGGCTGCCAACCGTCGCCTTCGTTTATTTTTGTTGTTTTTTTTCAATCCAGATTAGTGATAGATCCATATATCACCAACAGTTGTGAATCTACGCAAAAGGTTTATTTTCTTTTACTTGAATAAATCTACCTAAAAAGTGTAAGTAAATCAATGGTTGGACTTCTTTGGTCATT